AATGCATGTATACGTCTACGTATACATACGTTTGTATATATATATATATATATATATATATATACATATATACATATATACATATATATATGAATATACAATATACATATAAAGATATACAGCTAGTTTAATTTGTTTGTTTATTTTGTTTATCTCTTTCTCTGTGTCTCTTCTTCGGGCTGTCTGCACGACGCATTATAATAAATTTATTATTATTTTTTAGTTTTTGTTTGCTTCATCTCCTCAGCATTTAGAGCAAAACAAATAAACAAACAAAAACAAAAAAATAATTACATAAAGTCTTCGTCGTCGTCGTAGTCTTCCTCGTCATCCTGCAAGTACACCCCAAACAAAAACAAAAAATAAATATAAATATAAATATAAATATATATATAAATATATATATATATATATGTATCGACATATATATATACTCATGAATATATATCTAAACTATATATCCTACACCTTAAAACCCTAAACCCCCTAAACCCTAAACCCTAAACCCTAAACCCTAAAGCCTAAACCCTAAACCCTAAAGCCTAAACCCTGACCTGGGAGTCTCCACCGTAAACGACATCGAGCTCTTCTTTGTAATTTCTGCACTGAGAGCCGATGTCATTTGGCTTTTTCTTTTTAGTTGCGAGCAGCCGCTCTGCTTTTTCTTTTTCAGATATTGTTGCTGCTAACTTCTGCTGCAGCGAACGCAAGTCCTGCAGCAAACAAACAAAGATATAATAAATGATTAAAGAAGAATATATAAATCAAATTATAAATATATAATATATATATATAATGTATTTATATATATATATATATTATGCATATAAACACTAAACAAACATTAATCTACGCAACAGCAGCAGCATTAATACTTTAAGCAAGAGAAGCAGCACCACAAGCAGCCGCAGAAGCAGCATCACAAGCAACAGCACGAGCACTAGCAGCAGCAGCACAAGCAGCAGCAGCAGCAGCAGCAGCAGCAGCAGCAGCAGCAGCAGGGCTGACTTTGAGATCCATTTTGGGGGAGCATTCTTTCAGCAGCAAATCCAACAGCCGCAGCCAAGCCGGGCTCTTTGCCTGCAGCAGCAAGCAGCAAATACGAAGTGCACACATACCCTCAGCTACTTAGCTAGCTAGCTAGCTAAACAGCTAGCTATTAAGCTAGTCAGCTGTGGGTATAGCTAGCTGTTGAATAAACTAACTACCTCTGCCGCTCGCCAGCTCTAGAATCACCTAACTAGCTCGACAGCTAGCTAGCCAACCACCTAGCTAGCTAACTAGCTAGTTACCTGCCCACCTAACTAGCTAACTAACTAGCTAGCTAGCTAGCTAGCTAGCTAACTAGCTAGCCAACTCGCTAGCTAGCTAACCAGCTAGCTACCTAACTAGCCAGCCACCTACCCACCAAAAATAGCTAACTAGCTAACCAGCTAGCTAGCTAGCTAGCTAGCTAGCTAGCTGTTGATTGTCTGATTTGCTTACTGGGCTGTCTAATATTTTGGTGGAGATGCGCTCCACGAAGCGCTCGCAGTCTTTGAAAGTTTTTAATTCAAAGCCGTCGAAGACATCAGCGGAAGTCGCTGAAGAAATATAAAGCAACCCTAAACCCTAAACCCTAAACCCTAAACCCTAAACCCTTAACTCTTTAAAACATTGTACTTCACTGTTTTGTAATTATATTTATACTGTTTTATTATTATAGTTTATATAGATATATATAATATATATAATATATATATATATATAATGAGTGTATATAATATATATTATATACAACGAATTAAACATATAAATATGTATATATTTGTAATAATAATTTTGATGAAGAAACATAAAAACGAGCGTCTATATGAATATACAGACAAGTTAAAATATATATATATGTATATAAATATATAAATATATAAATATACAAATATGTATATATATATGTATATATATGTACATATAAATATATATACATATATAATAATAAATAAAATCAAAACGAGTCGTGCACATAAGTATACAGATAAATACGCAAATATATACACGCATATATACATACAAATATAAAATATATATAAAATAAAGAACATATATAATATATAATATATATAATATATCAAATATAATATGTTAAATATAATATATATTATATAATAGATTAAATATAATATATTAAATATAATATATATTATATAATAGATTAAATATAATATATTACATGTCTAACCTGTTATTGTTTTTGCAGTTTTTGCTGCGGTGGTTGTCTTCGGGGCTACTTCAACTTTTTGTGTATTTGTTTGCGGGCGCTCGCAACCCGCAAACAAGTCATCCATTAATCGCTTTTCTGCTTCTTCTGTTAACCTGCAGCAGCAGCAGCAGCAGCAGCAGCAATAGGAGTTGCAGCAGGAAGTGCGGAAGCAGGAGTAGTAGCAGTGGAAGCAGCAGAAACAACAACAGCAGCAGCAGCAGAAGTAGCAGAAGAACCAACAGCAGCAGCAGCAACACAGCCACTTGCAACGGCAGCATCAGCAGCAGCAGCACAGGCAGCAGAACCAGCAGCAGCAGCAGCAGCAGCAGCAGACGCACATCTGTCTCCTTCGCCGCTCTTCCATTGGGTCATTCAGCTCCACCTCCTGCTGCTGCTGCTGCTGCTTCTGCTTCTGCTGCTGCTGCGCTGGGCTCTTCTTCGCCGACTTATCAAGCCCAGTAGCAGCTTCCGGGGAGCAAGGAGGGGTTGCTGCTGCACAAACGCCAGCAGCACTGAAAAAAAAAGTAGACGTAGACCACAGCAGCAAGCAGCAGCAGCAGCAAAAGCAGCAGCAGCAGCAGCAGCAGCAACAGCAGCAAATGTAGACAGCTCACGCTCCTCCAGCTCATCGAGCAGGTCCTCCCAAGTGTCTGCAACGGCTGCACAAAACAACGCACAGCAACAACACCAGCAGCAGTAGCAGCAGCAGCAGCAGCAGCAGCAGCAGCGAGAGGAGGGAGATGAACGAAGCCTCAGCGTGTTGCTGCACCTCGCCACCGTAATCCACAACTCGAACGCAAACAAACTAAAAAAAGAGAAAATTTCATCACCAGGCGATTGAAGAAAGAAGAAGAGTTGTGAGTAGCTGCAGCTACACAGCAGCAGCATCAGCCGCAGCAGGAGCAGCAGCAATACACTTAAATAAACTTAAAATGCAAAGAAAACCGCGAAAATTGTAATTTATTCTCCTTACCCATTTTTGCAGAGAAGAAGATGCAGCGGCACTCGGTGCAGCAGAAATCGGGCGTGGTTGCTGTGAATGTTGAGGGTTTTTAATGCTTTTTTAAGTGTAATCGATAAAGAATTTAATTGAATTCAATTGAAGAAAGAGAATTGCGAAAAAAAGAAGGATAGTATACACACAAATGGCTGTAGGTCGCAGCAGCTTCAGCACGATGAAAGGCGCCTGCGGAAGAGCGGCGATTGCGGTGTACAGACAGCTGAAGAATAGCAGAGAAAATAGAGTTTTAAAGAAGATATATTCACTTATTTCATTATAAATCTCTTTAGAACAACCTTTTATCCTTCCGAAACAACAAGTATTTAGCTTTATTCACCGGTTTCTCACGATTGATGCAGCCGCATGCAAGGGGCTGAGTGTGGGCGGCTGCGGCTTTGTAAAGGAGATAAATTTGTTTGAATTTCGCTAAATATATTGATAAAAATAATAATAAACATTATTTTCATACATTTTCTCTTTCTTTCCGCCGGTACATCTTTAATAAGCTGCATAGACACCGCAGCGCATCGGCAGCAGCTGCCTGAGTGGAGAGCTGTTTCTGCAAAACCTTCATCTGTTTTGTGGTTTTGTTTGAATAATTGAGTAAAATAATATTTTAGTCTTTTATTCTTCATTTTCTCTCTTTTCTCCCTTGATCTTTGCAATAAACAGCTCAGACCCCTCTCGCGCATACACCAACCGCTGTTCTCATTTTCTGGGTTTAATAAATAGGGTTTAGGGTTTAGGGTTTAGGGTTTGGGGTTTAGGAGGATGGAGCTACTGGTGCTAGACTATAAGATAGGGACATGGGTGATGTTCCCTATTGTTTTAATGGTTTTACTATGCACATTGCTTCGACAGAAACTTGCAGATACAAACCCAAAGACAGACACGCAGCCTGATATGCAGCAGCAGTTTGTGTCGTAAGCTTTCTTCTTCTTTGTTTTTTCTATGATTCTTACTCAAATATTATTCACGAAAGAAAAAGAAATTCTTCTGTCTGCTCTCTTCTCTATATTTGTTTTGATTGTCTTGCGGTGAAGGGTCCTTGGCTTTCTTTTATTTGTCTTTGTTTGTTTTTGCTTCTTTTTGTTTGTTTTGTTTGTGCTTGTTTGCTTGTGTTTGTTTGTCTGTGGTTGTTTGTTTTTGTTTGTCTTTGTATTTGTTTGTCTTTGCTTGTTTTTCTTCATTCGCATTTGTTTGTCTTTGTTTGTCTTTGTTTGTCTCAGTTTGTCTTTGTTTGTCTGTCTTTGTTTGTTTGTCTTTGTTTGTATTTCTTCTTCTCTTCGTTTTTATTTATTTGTTTGTATTTTCTTCTCTTTATTTATTTCTCTTGGTTCTCCTTTCGTTTTTTTATATTTGTGTATTTATATTTATATTATATTATATTATATTATATTATATTATATTATATTATATTATATTATATTATA